GGGGGGGGGGGGGGGTAACCGAGCGGGAAACAATGGCGGGGCCTCCGATCGCCAGTTCGAGCCTAGTCGGTAAGACCAACATAGGCATCCGACCCTGGGACTCAAGCATGCATTGACTCAAGGAAGGCAGTACTAGGAGTCTTGTCTCGAATAACAAATTGCAAAGCCGGCGTGATGGACATCCATCCTATGATAGTCAACCGCCCCACCCACCTGCAGGAGGCACCGCAGGTGGCCCTGCTGCAGCGGCCGCAGCCCCTCGGGGCCGTACAGCGCCCCGCCGCCCGCAGCCATCTGCGCCTCCGCCGCGGCCACAGCAGCGGCGCCGACGCCGGCACCTGCGCCGCCCCCGGCCTCCGCGCAGGCGGACGTCTCCTCCTGAGAGAGCGCCTGCGGCGGCGGGGGGCGTGGTCTTCTCAGTTGCGCGTCGGGGGGCGCGACATTCTTACTAGGGTCCGCCGCATGGGCTGCTGGCACGGCCCACATCGACCTTGCCGCCGCATGACAGGCCCCACACAGCTTGCCTCCACATGGCGGGCATACCGAGCCCAGAAAGGAACGCCCCAGCTCAGCTTTCTGCACCGATGCGTCCACCCCAAACAGCAGCGCGCCCGCAACGTCCCCTGGCACTGCTTGCCTGCTCGTACAGCGCCAGCGCCTCCGACCAGGCCCCCGCCTTTTCAGCTGACAGCATCTGGTCCGACACAGTCAGGCCGCCCTGGCGCAGGTGGACCAGGCCTGAGGGTGGGGCGGGGCACGGGACAGGTTTGGCGCAGTGGCAGACGGCGAAATATTACCAGTCGCCGTGAGTTGTGAGATCTTTGCCAGAGCAAAAAGATTGAGTGACAAGTTGTGTTTCGACCCGAGCTCATCACCGTCATCCTAGCCACAACAAGCGCCTTGTCTACACCCCCGAGCCTCATCCCACCAAACCAACTCCCAAGGGTGACATCACACCCAAGACCCAGCTGTGATCGAGCACATCCAGCGGGGCGCCCCTAGGTGGCAGAATGCCTGCCCCCCCTTCGTGCACCGCTGAAAGCCTGGCAGCCCTTGTCCCCCGGCACACCCGGGGGACCCTGACTGCACAAGCCATTCTCGCATGCCGACCATCACGTCAACCCCACCATCTAGCCCTCGCGGCTCCCTGTGCACTTCCACTAATCCACGTGCCCTCTGTGCAACACCACTCCCAACCAACCTCCAAGCACCCTCGTGAGCAAGATTGCCGTGTCCCACCTGATCCACCTCAGATCTCTCATGCCCATTCAACTTCTTAACCGCCCCAACCCCCTGCAGTGCAGCCCTCTGAGTTCCCTCAACCCTAGTGGAAGCCCAAGACAAAGCATGAAGCCAGTCAAACTGAGACATGAAGCAGACAACAGAGGACATCACGCCCTCATCGCACCCACCCTCTATGCCGTCCGGCTCCTCCAGCTGCCCGTACACCTCCAGCAGGAAGGCAACCTCCCCGTGGCCGTAGCCAACGCAGGGGTTGGCGCTCGCAGGGTTGAGGCCGCCGCCGTGGAGGACGCGCGCGTGGGACTCAAAGTAGCGCAGCGCGCGCGCCAGGGCGCCGCACCTGCGCGGTGAGGGGGTGCGCGGGGTGGGTGGTGGAGGCAGACGGGTTCAGAAAATGTATCTGTGCGCGCGAGTGCGAACGTGTTGAGAAGGGCGTGCGTGCGTGTTTGCTTGCAAAAGCAAGTTCGCGCACGTAGGTCTGCATATGCGCGCGCGTATGTGGCTGTCTGTGTGTGGCGAGCCGTTGCGCGGCCTTGAGCTCATGTCTACGTTTGCGTCACAAGGCCTGGACGGACGCAAGCAATAGCGCCTTCCATGCCCCTGGCGATGTCATGTGTCCCTGGGGGCCATCCCGCACCTGAGGGCCGCCTGCGCAAGCACCTTGTGCGGCACCGCCGCCAGCACCCCCGCCACGCTCGCCACGTCAGCCGGCAGCTCTGCTGCCCCAACCCCTGCCGCACCCGCGGCCCCGCCCGCGCCCCCGCCGCCGGCGCCGCCGCCACGCGCGGCGGCAGCCGCGTCGGCGGCCGCCTCGTGCTCCTCTGTGCGCTCGGCGACCCAGTGAGTCAGCGCGTCGTACAGCGTGAATAGGGCCTGGCAGTACACCTCAGCCTCCGCAGGGACGGCCGCAGCAGACGCGGAGGCAGCAGCGGCCGCGGCCGCAGCCGGGTCGGCGGCGCCCCCCAGC